AACATCTTGATTATTACATAATAGATGTATATTATTATTATTATTATTTATTAATGTATGTTGTGAATTTGTCATATATGATGATAATTGATTCATTATAGGAATAGGAATTGAATTGAATGGGGTATTTCTCAATTGTTGCTGTGGTTGTTGTTGTTGTTGCTGCTGTTGATGATGATGTTGTGGTTGTTGTGGTTGTTGTTGAATAGAATAATTCATTGTATAATTATCAGATGATATGAATGATGGTATTGATGTGAAATGAATTAAATTATTATTATTATCATGATCATCATCACCATCATTATCCAGTTTTGTAGATGATATTATTGGCAATGATGATAATGGTGAAGACGACAACGTCGAAGATGATGATGATGATGAGGAGGAGGAGGAGGACGACGATGGCAAAGATAATGATAATCCTAATAAATCAATAGATGATATATCATGATTTTTGTTCACAATAACACGTAAATCTTCAGCTTGTTCTAAATTATAATGATCATTATTATGTTTATGCATATTGTTATTGATATGATCTTGATATAATTGAATAATATGAATATAATATAATAATAATAATTGAATACATGATTTATCATTGTAACAATGAAATGATGATTGAATCATTTGTAAATCATTAAAAAATTTATTTATCATATCTGAATTCATTTGATAATCATTGAAATCCATAAAATTAATTGATAATAGTGATTGATACAAATAATTAAACACTAGACAACAACAACAATAACAACAAAAGAGAAAAGAAGAACGAAAGAGAAAATCATTGGATAGATACTAGTTGTATATCATCAGTATAGGGTTGAGGAGATGATTAAATATTTTTGATTGAGATGATCAATTGATTGATGTTAGACCATAATTGAAAACATGGAAGCATTGGATGGTCATTTCGTTTGATTATGGGAATCTTCAAAATCCTGCTCATGAGACTCAAACCCAAGGTGCTCAGTCTCGTGTATGAGATCCAGCGGTCTAACATTAATCGATTCATGATCTCAATCATAAATTAGTTGTACAATTTGACAGTTATTACTGTTTGTATAATTTTGATCTTTCAAGTGAAATTGTGTTCCAGAACTTTTATACATTCCTAAAACCAACTTATATAGAAATAGATGATACTAGATAAGGGACTATAATTAGTATCATTAAATAACGGTGTGATATTACAAAACTAATTTGAGTGACAGAACAACTTTTAACCATCAGTTGATATTTCTTACTTATCTACACCGTGTGATTATGATAATCTACATCACGAAGCAAGCTCTAACATGAAATTCTGAAGGGGAATAGAAAAGAGGAAAGGTGAAAAACACACTATATGGAGAATCGTAAGTAGACATGATATATATGAATAGTAACTAAAAAAGATTTCCTAGGACACAGTTCGATGAAGAGTACTGATGGGTGGTTTATATTCTTTCACGCGGTTTGATAACAGGCATGATAAACATGAATAGCAACTGGGAACAACTAGGAAGGATTGCTCAAGATAGAATTGGATAAACAGTACTAGTAGACAGTTTGTGCTTCTCCATGAGGAAGGTAGTCCCACTTGTATTCTATTTCAAATAATACATTTAAAATCATTAACAAATCATCTTACTTGTAACTTGTTGTATTTGATTATATTCTGTATGTAATTGTGTTAATAATTTTCCTGTTGTAATTAATTCATCAATACATAATGAATGTTTATTTGGATCATTTAAATGTTTATAGAATAATTCACATAAAAGATTTCTTGAACTATCCATTCAATTCTTTTATTAGATGATTATGACATTAGACATGGATACTTAAATATTTGTTAGTAGTATTTATTAATTTGAAGCACTAAATAAGAGTTTCCAGTAAATGAATGGATTACACAAAATCAATCATATGTATATGCATATATGTATATATATATCGAGAGAGAAAGAGAGAGATTACATTAGGTAAAATGGAAAATCGTTACTATGCCGGATTTCTCTATAGTGTTAGTCCGTCATCTATAATAATAATAATAGTAGTAGTAGTACTATTTGTAATGGACAATATAATAATTGAAATGAGTAGTATAAGTCAACAAATATAAATCGTATCCTTTCAAGTACTCATGCACAGAAGTATTATATGCCATATACCATATATGTATATATATATATACCTATAAGAATACAGACACGCCAATCACATACAACCATTTGAGTAAGTCATTATATAATTGTGCTTATGATGATTACGTTTTTTTATCATCATCAATTGTATTGTTTTTGTTTTGTTTGTTTAGTGTTAATTTTTACGTATAAAATAGTATTAATAGAGAGAATATTAAAAATAACGAATCAAAACGGATCCAAATATTGATGATCATAATCATCATCATAAATTTGAAATTGCAGTAGCACACAGGGTAATGACACTTACACGCCCACATAGATATAGATATACACACAAATTCATTTAGATCTCATCCTAAGGACACGTTTAAGTAATTAAGTAAGCTATTCTTATATATATGTATCTCTTCTATAGTTCTGATATAGGTATATGTATATAGCAAATATATTCCTTTATTGAGTTAACCTTAAGTAAATACTGCTATCAATTATTTCACCATTGTTTAAGTTATGGTAATAAGGTGGAGTTGATTTTTAATCATACAATGATTTGTATATATTTTGTGTTTATTTATTTATTTCAACACATAAATATTGGTACAAGAGGGCACCAAATATATATGCGCCACACCATATTTGTGTGTGTGTGGGCTGCGATACTGCCCGGGTGCCCAGACCGAAGCAGGTGGTTTTCGTAGGGGGCCACACCCCGAGCCTTTGACCTGCAGGTCTGATCCACAAGGTAGTGGAGCATCGTGACGAGATGCATTCCCATGGTAGCCGGTGACCAACGATTGGTTCATTCGCCATTTGTTCCCACAGGATACTGGGGTCTATGTGTAACATTGGTTTGGAATCCGGTTAAAGCGCCGGATATTCGCTTTTGGTCCTCTCAATTTCGTAAACAACACCCCCGCCACGAGAAGGCAATGAGTAGGACTTCTCTGGCAGAGGCTGTATACGCGTGTTAACTAGATCATGATGTTCTTCTTTACACAATATCACTCATTATTGAAGGTTTGCTTGAATATATAGGCTATTTATTCGTACTATCTAGATATTTCAATGAATGATCTATTTCCTTGTTTATTTCAACAGATCATTATGTTCATTGATGACATGATCTTTTATTGTACAAGTTGGAAAAGAGAACCATTAGAGATATTGCGGTTGTTGGCAATATATATAGATTGATAAGAATATACCTTATTATTTAGATGTTGAGACATAACTTGAATTCATCAAGTTTATCAACAGTTTAAAGGAAGATTGTATTAAACCTTTTTAATGCTGCTTCTTCAGTTATCTAGTGTTTCATTAACCTCAATTTCATTTTGATAACTACCAGATAGTGATTTGAAGTTATGACAGCTCTTCTTCTGATTCACACTTCTTTCATTGTCCTTGTGAATGTTTTAGTGATACAAAATATGATCGATCTGATGATTGTTTTGTGATCCGGTATGATCCATGTTGCTCACAATATACATCGAAAACAATGTATCTTATTATTCAGATGTCAATTCTTGAACTACTACCATCTAATTGGCGATCATCATCAGGATTGATCAAGAAATAAGAAATGGGAAGCTTGTTGAAATACCAAATATATAACATTGAATAAAGCTAATAATAATAATAATAATAATGATAATAATAATCTACACATACTTCAATTGTTTTCTTCTTTTACCCTACAAATATAATACCTAAAGATGTTTGATCAAATTTTAATAGTTAAGCTAATATTGTGTAATGGGCTTGTTCACTGTGTATTACATTAAACAGCATATAGTGGTGAGACCATCATTTCTTTAACGACCTTTGAGAGATGCTTGGTTGACCTTGAGAGTGTTCATCCAATAACCAGAACCAAATGAAGGTTATAAACCAACCTGAGAAATTAGAATTATCATTTACAGTTGATGATTAAGGTTAGGAATCAGATTTAGGGTTTTAATCATGAACTGACATCAGCTATAATGCCAAAACTCTTTATAACCGAATGGATCAGTGAATTTCGCGCCAAAATCCGAAACCGGTTATCGAGATGGTGGAGAAGAAACCGGTTATCTTATGCCTGATTGGTTCGTTCATAAATTACAGTCTCGCCCTCATTCCAGTATCCAGAAGTCACTTACTCATCTTATTTCAATGTTCTGGCAATAGTGATAAATTTTAGGTGATGATTTAATTCAATTCATATAATAAAATGTCCAGTAAACATTATACAATCAGAAGGGGTTTTTGGAGATTTTAGAAATTTCACAGATTGAAATCATGAGTCAATTGAAGCTAGACCATAATGGAAAACTTGGAAGCACTGGAAGGCCATTTCAAGAGATACTCCTGGAGTTCTAGTGAGAAGCTGTTACTAGTGGAGTTCAACCAGGTCTGTTGTGAGATATCAACTCACTGAAGACAATGGTGACGGCGGCGCAACTTCGTGGATTGATTGAAGTTAGACATTAACACCGTTGGATGCTAGCTCAGTGGTCTAGTTGGTTAGGCGCCTAGCGCGAGATCGATAGGTCCTGGTTTCGAATCTCGCGGGGTGCGCATCGCTGAGGAGTACCGTACTAAACCGAAACGGTCGTTCAGTGCTTCTAGGTTTTCCATGGTGGTCTAACTTCAATTGGCTCATGATTCTAATCATTATACAATCATTGACAGATTTATATCACAAACACATACCTCTATCATCTTGTGAAGTAAATTTCCTTTTCATAAGGACGTTGAAAAACATGATATACTTTCCTATTAGTTATAGCCACAATCGCCATTAATGAAGTTTATACTTCTCTTCATTCTGAATTATATTGACTGAAATTGAGCAGGGTACATATGCCAGCAACAGACTGATCAATCGCAGTTCTAAACATCAATGAGAAGATTCAAGTAAACAATACCAAGTGAATTTAAACTTCACCCCATTGCACAACCAAGTGGCTATCAGGACTCAGTAGCTAAGTGCATAACGCAATGGCATTTGGAGTCAACGGTACTGGGTTAGAGTCCAAGAGTGAATATCAATTCTGAGATGCAGGCACATCCATCTGACGAGTCTCAAATAGGACGAAACGCATATCGTGGATTCCACTGATAACCATTATCCATTTTGTGATTTAAAGCAATATCGAGGCAATACGCACAGTATACACATATGCCAATAAGAGACAGATCAATTGCAGTTCTACCACGTGAATTTTAGATATTAGTTCTTATCTCTGAAAACAACCCTTCTAAATTACAAGCTGTAAAGCCTTTTTAATTAATCTTTTGAGTAGTATGATAATTAGTAATTATTATCATTTAGTTCAGCTAATCTCTATATCTTGAAGATGATCTGTAGTTTTCAAGTTCAATGCTACAATCGGAGGTTAACATAGTTCAGTATATTCACTATTTCGTACAATTTCTGTAAAATTAATGAATCACCATTATACTTACTGTAATTGATAAATAGTCTTTAAGTAAGTTTAATTTAACAATAGGATGGATACAAAGGATCCACCTAGGGAAGTTGGATAACCCTGATGACAAACCAATAGTGTACGTGGGCTCCAGGATCTTGAAGGAAACAAATGGTGTATGAACTTATTGTTGGTCACCGGCTGCCATGGGACTGCATCTCCTAATGTTTCCCTACCGCCTTGTGAATTAGACATTTAGGTCGATTGTTCCAGGAATGGCGCATATCTGTTCGATGCTTCCTTGTATCAATGTTCATATTTTTAAATAAGTCATTCACTTTAGAATTTCATCTTCTTTACTTCCATTAAAAAGTAAGTCAATTAAAAAGCGCTGAATTGAATTTAATATCCAGAAAGTAATATTCCTATCATTTCAATATGTAATACAAAGCTTTTGAATGTATGTTTGAAAGGAATAATGACTTCTGTTAGTTATTTAGTTCTATATTTAAATGAGCACTTATTTATTGATCTGAACACATAAATACTGGCACAGGGGGACACCAGTTACATACATGTCACACAAATCTCATTTGATATGTGTGAGGGCTGTGATACTGCCCGGGTGCCCAAACCGAAGCACGTATAATAAGAACCGAAGCTAGACCACCATGGAAAACCTGGAAGCACTGGACGGCCGTTTCATCCTAGTATGGGACGACTTAACAGTGTGCATCCACTACCCCGCCCCCACGCGAGACGAACCCAGGACCTATCAGTCTCGTGCACGAGCGCTTAATCATTAGACCACTGAGATTCAAAAGCACTGGACGGCCAGTTCTTCCAATTGTGAGACTCCGCAGAAGTGCGCATCCACGACCCCGCTCACAGGACTCGAACCCATGGCCTTCAGTCTCGCGCGCGAACGCTTAACCTCTAAACCACTGAGTACTAAAAAACTAATAACTTGATTTCATATATTACTGTTTACTACAATGAAGTATGTTGACATAACTTATAGGAGTATTCTGAATAGTGGTAGTTGATAGAATAACAAGAGAAAATTTGTGTCAGAAATCATCTATTGAAGATAGATTAAGATGATGATTTAGTAGTTATTGTATGGGCAAAGAGAAAGAAGTTAATGGTTTGAAACATCTAAGAGAGCACTGGCTGTTTTCGACGTATTAACCACCCATCAACATCATATAACCTAAAATTCATAACGATTTTCTAGCATCAATATATATTACTGTTGCAATTGGTGGTATGACGATACAATTATCTGCGTGAATCATTAAATTTAGGCAGTCGAGTGAATCTTTGGAAGACTGTAAACAACATCGTTTCATCAACTCCAACACTGACAGTGTTTCTCACTAAAATCATTGACATGAATCCAGAGTGATACATTTTGGTTTACCGATCCCCTCAAAGGTCAAGGATAGTCAGTGTGCATCAATGAATTCAACGATATGAACTGATCCAAGCAGTGATAGTTGAACTCTGTTTCTTGTACACAAGATACTCAATGCTCGTTGACCGGATATCATGAACAACAGGTTGTTGTGAGAGAGAACAGACTAGCTTCCAAATGAAACTAGGAACAGACGTTGTAAGTGGATAGGTTATACATTGAGTAAATCATCAAATCGCATCACGTGATAAGTTCTAACTTGAAATTGTGAAGGGAAACGTGAACGAGGAAGACATTATAACAAAGTGAGCCGGTAATCGGAAGCAGATATGAGAAGGTTGAATAGTAACTAGAAAAAACTGGAAAGGATTGTCGATGACATAGTTGGATGTCGAATGCCAGTGAGTGCCTATGCTCCTGCGCGAGAGTCACTAGGCGTAAGTAAGTAAGTTAGCTGGGATACATGAATCCTGCATCGATTGTTTCAATATAGCTGTTCCATCACAAGTTTGATATTTAATAAGAGGATTTTGGCTAACAGTGGAATTCAACACGTACCGTTCTTCTTATTTTCGACTCATCAGTCACATTAAATGTGTTAATGTTCACATTACCTTTGAAGTATATCTTCCTTTTTGTGTTACTTATTCCATGTAGTAATTTGACTGTAGTTATTACTAATATGGTTTTCTTACCTTCTAGGGAAGTGTCTCATTTATTGTTATTTAGAAGTATTAAGTTCAATCTCTGATTTCATTTCATTTTCTAAAACGATGGATATTCGTTTTGACCTGAGCTCGCAAGACCAATAGTTCCTGGGTTCGAATCTCACAAGGCGGGATCGTGGATGCACACTGCTGAGGAGTCCCACAATAGGGTGAAACGGTCATCTAGTGTTGCAGGTTTTCAATGGCGGTCTAACATCAATCAGTTCATGATCTCAACTTATAAAATTACTATAATATCAACAAAATCCCTTCTGATATTAAATTAATTATGCCTATCGAAAAACCTTTCAGCAAAGAAAGTTCTTTTTTGGACGATTTCAGTTTTAAAATTTGTATACTTTTACTTATATGAGATAATCAGTTAGCTGAATGAGTAATATATAGTAGTATGCATGCCAACAATGAATAGGATTTATTGAGTGCAGTTTACAGCAATCTGTAAATCATTATAAACAGAAATTGATGGTAACTAGCAGTGGAACTCATGATGTGCGTTTCGTCTCATCTAAGATTCATTAGTTGGATATGGATAACACGTTGGCGTTTGAAACGAACGATACTGGACTAGGGTCTCAAAGTGAAAATCAGCTCTGGAATGAAGGTACATCCAGATAACGAATCCTAAATAGAACGAAACATGTGTCACGGATTCTACTGCTAGTCATTATCCATCTCTGCCTATAATATCTGTGACCTAAAGCAATATAGAGATAATTTTAGGGATATTTTAGTTCAAAATAGACTGATTATTAATGTCTCTGGATGAAGTACCGAGTGATATAAGTGATAAGTCTTGAAAATTGAACGCTATATTTGTTCCTAAGCTATTCTGGTAACCCGCAAGACAGAACTACACAGCGACCTGAACACCAGAGAGAAGACGCAAAGTATGAGAGAAATACTTTAATTTAAGGTTCGTTTTTGTACAGAAAACATGGGTATTTATAGATGTTAACGTTTGTTAAATCAACATCATATTCCGGCCAGTCCGTTAACGAAATATTAAGCTACTGATCAATAGTAGCACGCCACGTTGGAATTCTAGAATGCTCCATCATGTTCTGATTGGCTAGGACTCTTCGGCTCCTTTTGGGCCTCTGAAGGCTCCGTTGAAGTTTTCCTAAAGTCGACTCAACAATAAGTTCATATGTCTAATGGAAGTATCTGAGCCATCAAGTTTGTAAATATGTCTTTTATATACATACTGAGTACAAATCCTTTGGTTCAGCATTATAGCTTCCTAATCTTTCACAATCTTTTCATTTTGTATACCCTCTATTTTAAAAATGTTAAGGAATAGTCTGTGTATTGTGATTAAATTATATCTGTTGATGACAGGTAATATCAACTAACCAAAATAACACTCACAAATCACATTCATAGATTGAAATAGTGTGAAGAGTACTGTTATTGTATATTAACACCGTATCCATCAACTCGGTTAAAGCGCTGGACGTTCGTTTTTTCATCCTCTCAATTTCGTAAACAACAGTAATGCCACAAGAAGGCAGTGAGTAGGATTTTCCTGGTAGTGGTTGTATCCACGCAGCCATGTGAGAGTATTTGAATAAAGAGAGTAGACTCTCCCGACCATCGACCGTACCAAGATATTTGGGGAAATATGACATTTCCTATACAAAATATGTAAGTAGATTATATTTATCGTAAGTACTTTCTTTAAAAATTTAATCGACTAGTGGAAATTATTTAAAACATGTAGCACCTGATTTACAAAATATATAAATATATAGATTGAATTCATGAGTCGGTTAAAGCCAGATTACCTTAGAAAGCCTGAAAGTATTGGATGACCATTTCGTCTTAGTATGAGAATCTTCAACAGTGCACATCCACGATCCTGTATGCAGGATACGAAACCATAATCTTTGGTCTTGTGCCTGAACCCTTAACCTGTAGACCACTAAGCCAGCATCTAATGGTGTTAATGTGTAACTTCAATAGATCCGTGATCTTCCTCAACCATTCATCCATTATCTGAGGTAGATACTTGCTCCTACCCCACAAGGATTGAATTCCACTGATTACAATATCTCACTAGAACTCCATGAATTCAATCACTAATGACCATATAATGATTATTATTAATATAAAGGTTTATAGAAATTGATGTAATTTCTTTTTAATAGATAAATTTATGAGTCAATTAAAACTAAACTAATTTAGAAAACCTAAAATCATTAGATGGCCATTTCGTCCTAATATGAGATTCCTCAACAATACACATTTATGATCCTACCCCTGGCAACCAAATTTATGAAATTACTAAAATCTCCACAACCCCCCCCCTTTCTGTCATATATATATAGTTTTAATATATTTCACTTTAAAGTGTTTTATTCAATAGATATAACTGTTTAATAAATGATTATAACTGATCTAGTTAATGAACATTTATACTACTAATAATAATATAAACTACTTAACTATTAATATTCACATTGTGATATGAATAATGATGTTTACATTTACCTAAAGTTTAGATATTTCATAGTTGACAATGAATAAGAATTAACAAAATCATCATCATCATCATGTATATAAGTTTTCTTTTCTTTTTTTCTTTTTTCTCTTTTTTGTTTTCTTTTCTTTTCTTTTTTTCTTTTTTTAAATAAATAAAAAAGACAAAAGGATTAAAAATAGGAATAACATTAATGTAAAGTAATGGTACTACTTATAATCTTATTTCAATAGATGATTACATACATACATAGATACAAAACATGTATAGGTAAAATATGACAACATTTAACGATGATAAGTATATGATCAAAAGGAATTCTTTTATAATTTATGAAAGAGTAATGAACTTTACAATAACGAAAAAAAAGAAAAGAAAATAACCAGAAAGAAATTTAGATAAGAGTAGGATAAGATTTAATCTACACTAAGAAGGATCTGATATACATGATATTGATCATTAACTAGTCAATCACGTTTCGAATAGATCAATGGTAACTTTTTGGACTGTGAAGCTGGATGATATGGAGCATTAGTTCTCTAAAGATTATAGGTAAACTTTGCTGATCAGTGCTTTGTAATATGAAATCTAGGTTCAGAATTTTTTATTGTCTACCTTCAATCACTTAGACTAGTGGTGACATTGCAACTTGGTCGATAGGATTCGATTTGCACTAAGAACAATCTGATATACATGACATTGATTATCAACCAGAGATCGATCAATTGTGAATACATCTCAATCTTACAGGAAATTAGTTGTGGTCCGAATAGATAATTGGTAACGTTTTTGACTGTGAAGCTGGGTGATACGGGATCGAATCTGTCAGGGAACACCAGTACTCTCAACATTACAAGTACACCTTACTGACGAGTGCTAAGTAGCACGGAACGTAGATTCGGGATTTCCTGTTGACTACCACAAACTACCATCTTATCTCAAAAGTACAAAGTTGGATTTTTTTCTGCTACTATCATCACAATCAGTATGGTTACAATGGCAGAACACAGAATTACTCAAATTTATAACATCAATCAGGAATAGAATCCCCGGCAGCAAAAGGTTAAGAATATCGAAGAGGGAAGAATCGGAACAGAGGGTATTTGGTAAATGGAGCAATGAAATTTGAGACAATGAATATTTTGGCAAAAGAAGTATTAAAGTATAGTTTCCTGATTTTACCAAGTCACTTTGCAATTATATGTTGATAGACAATCGGATGTCACCCCCACCCCATGAGTTCTTATTCATAACAATAATAGTAACCAGAGAAGGATTTTTGTGGATATTATAGTAATTTAATAGCTGAATTGATGAGTCAATTGAGTTGAGTTTAACTCGTGACTCATTGGAGACAATGGCGGATGGTGGCTCAATTTCGTGGATCAGTTGAAGTTAGACAATAACACCGTTGGATACTGGCTCAGTGGTCTAGTGGGTAAGGGCACGTGCGCAAGACTGATAGCTCCTCGGTTCGAACCTCATTAAGCGGGATCATGGATACGCACCACTGAACAGTCCCATACTAGGAAGAAACGGCCATACAGTACTACCACTTTTTTGATGGTCTATCTTCAATTGACTCATAATTTCAACTATTGAAATATCTATATACATATTGAATGAAATTCAACATTCTATATTAATCATTCCAATATGATTCAATTAGTTCCAATTTTTGACATACTAACTGATTCATAGAAATTTATTTATTTATTTATTTTCTTTAAATCATAAAAAGAAGAAGGAAGTTCACGTATGATTTTCTTACATAACGACAACAACAATAAAAACAAAATAATCAATAATATTTGAGTTGGTTTTTGTGTAGAACAACAGCAACACTCCAAACATCTCTCTATTTATCTATCTATCTATATACACTTAGTTAGATCAATGTATAATTGTTATCATAATGCTTATACTAGTACAAACTACTTTAATAATAATAATAATCACTTTCAATAAACCAGTTATTTACTTCATTTAACCATAGAATTATGCTTTCATTTATTATTATTAAAGTAAGAAACGATTCATTTAAAAAGTTGTCCTTAAAATGGATATATCATATTAAGTTTAATTATAAAGTATAATAATAATAATTAAAGATCAATATTACTGAATCTTTAATATATGAAACATTGATCTTCCGTATTCAGTTGACCTTCTTGTATTCACATCATCAATGATAATGAAAAATGAACCCAATTGTGGAAGGAATTTGGTTCGTAATTAGGTTAACATTTTATAATTTCTATTTTACAAGTATGTGTAATTCAATATACATGTATATCTATATCTATTTATTTAATATAAGATACCATATTATAATGGAAGTTAATTAAACATTACATTATCTATCAATGATAGTAATCATGTTCTCATTTACTGATTTAACAATTTAATAAATTCAATGTGTTTGGTAACTATTCTTCTTTTTTACTTTTATACATTGTATAACAAATAATAAAAGTAATATTTATATAAAATAGTTAGTTTAAGGTGAGCTTATCTAGAGCCTGTTTAGAGTAACATTGGTTTATCGACATTTTCATGTTTTTAATATAAGCTACTCAATAAATTTTTAAGTAGTCAAATGTAATAAACAACATTACAATGCATTGCACAATCAAGCAGCGTGTATCTTCCCACTTGTTGTTTAGGAATGCAATTGATCAGTGTCTTGTTGGAATATGTGTATCCTGTGTGGATTATCTTGATATTGACTTAAGTCACAAGTATTATATACAAAGATCGGTAATGTTTAGTAGTGGAATCAATGATGCGCGTTTCATCCCATATGGGACTCGTCAGCTAAGTTAACTGGTTATGCCACTTCAATCTGCATCTACGAATTCAGCTGCTCCTGTGAAGAAAGCTATACTAGGCGCACTACCAAACAACTGAACCAGAAATCCAGTGAACACCTGCCTTTGTGGTTAGGAAAAGGTAATTATATCATGTAGTGGACTGAAATAAGTCATGAACTGAAAAACCATTTACCTATTTATATTCGATCATTTTGATTATATTTCCTTGAAAAAGCTTGGACTAGATTGGATTTACTTCATATTCATTCGCTGAGATTTTACAAATATATCCTTCCTTTCTGATGTCTTACATCAACTCGGCGCCCAAATACTGTGAAACTAATCGATCAATTTTAGACGAAAGTTCTTGTTTAAGTCATTTAAAATTATTTATCATATTCATATTGGCTTTCCTTATAGTATTCGGTCTCGTCCTTAACACATAGCAGAAGCTATGAGAATCCGAGCCAATAATCCAAGCCTTTGTGTTCTTAAGAAACTTGTAATACCCTTATCTCTCACTTGGCCTTAATAAATGATTGTATTTATTATTTTTCATACTCGTTCTTCATTTATTTATCTTCATACCCTTTCGTTTTCTCAAATATACGTTTCACGGTCTAATTATCTGAAAACATCTTATCACGTAATAAGACTAAACACTAAAAATCTGCTTTAAAAAGGAGTTATGTATGAAAGATTACGGCGACTCTCGATGAAAATTAAATACAATCTGGTCAGTTTAACAAATATTGAATCATGCCAACCAATGAACCGCCAGACTCTAACCAAAGACACTAGATCTTTTGGCATCAAACCAAAACTGAGTTGATCAAATGTTCAAGAATGAAGTTGTTGACTGATTTGAATTCATCTTTATGTAGACAAGTGTCTTTTTCGCATAGCTACTTGGAAAGCGCATGCATTGAACGATCATTATAACCTGTTTTGTTAAAGCACTTTATGTGAACTTTGTATTAATGGCCAAACTTTTCGGTATCGTAGAGGTACTTCCCACTTGACATTTTCGTTTCAGGGTACTAGTAGGTTCAAAGTCGTTCTCTGTATGAAACGAATGTTTTTCACAGGCGTTCTTCTTGACTGGGTGCATAAACTATTGTTTCGTGTTGTGTTCTCACCAAGTTATTATAGATTCATTACCAGAGTACTATTGCGTTAAACATCACACATAGTGCATTGTCCTAGTTATACTGATGTGATATCAGCTATTTAATCAGTTATCACACAAGTTCCGAGTTAGACACTGAACTGTATTGTGAAAGTTTATCTGTATGCTATTTTCTCATTCTAGTATTACTATCGGGTGTGGAAAACTGAAACTAGTACCAGTAGGCAGTATGTAGTGTTCTCGGTCGTTATATCATTGTCATTGGTCAGAAAACGGTAATCGCACAGTTGGCCGATGGGTCATTCATTCTATACAGTCAATAATCATAATAGGTGATTTAACTGCTTCTCAAAAAAAATGGGCTTATCACATGGACCCCTATAAAACTCAAAGATCTGTTCTCTTTCTCCGTTGCATTACTGATACATTATGCATAGGAAAGCATAAAAAACCTAGCTGAGTAAATATTTGATATACCATACGATAGGAACTATCTTATCAACTTATTTAGATTTTTTGATCACTTTCATTGTCTCATTACCTAATGTGTGGTGAAATAACTGAATAAAGATGAAATGGGAATGGGGATGAAATAAGAAATGCATGACAACTAACAGGTGTTTTTGTGGATATGGAGGATCCACCTAGGGGAGTTGGAAAACCCTCATTCTAAACCAATAGTGCACATGGGTTCCAGTAGTCTGAGGGAACAAATGTCGTATGAACCAATCATTGGTCACGGACTACAATGGGACTGCCTTGTAGATCAGACGTCGGTCTCGGAACACGGGTAGTACACAAGTCAAGTGACATGTGTGGCTCATATATGTTCATTGCACCATTGTACCAATACTTATGTGTTCAGATAAATGAATAAACGATATATTTTCAGTACGGTACCAGTTTTGTTTATTAGTGAAGTCTTTTTTCACAAGAAAACGAAATTAAGCATGACACATCATTGAAACTAAGCCTAATGTATGATGCTGTAGACAACCCCGACTATTCTGCTTGGTATGATTTCACTGACAGAACTCCTGTCACTATAGCAACTAATTATTCAACTTCTCGAACAAAAATATCAGTTGGTTATTGAATTTACTAAAAGTGATGCTATGTTCGAAGCGGTTACGAGTTCACTTACTCTAAGAACGAAACAAAGACCAATAAGCTAGCTATTTTGACGTGTCCCGGCCCCGCCAACTAGAGAGAAGTCAAAGTCTGAACGGGGAAGTATATTACGAAAAAAGCCACCAGCACGAGCGACAACAGACGAGTACCATTAACTACATCATAGCTACTTATGATTAGTAAGTAGAAATTTCTACTACTTTTATTTCATCTCGAGCTTGATCAGCTATTGTTTGAATATGCCATGAATAACAAACTTGTTTAACATCATCATATATTTACTTTTACTTCATACATGCTACAATAAATTTCATTAGTGATTATCTATCTGATTATCTCCGCCTGAAGTCCCTTTTGCGTTACTGTCGGTCCCAAGCCCTGTTAAAGGAGGAGGGTAGGGCATGGGGTTAGCGACCACATTTAGTAAAAAAACTAACTCACTGAAAAAAACGCTAACCAGTAAAAATAATTCAAATTCCATCCTAGGAGTTAGAATATCTTTATTTACAAGAGTCATTACATCTCATGATGAATGTAGAATTCCTTCGGAAGTCACAAGGTTGATATCCCTTTCGACAATCAGAATAACCATTACTTTAAATACATAGAAAGTATCTATCTGATTGACTAATTTCACTTATGTCATATGTTTATAAAGTGAAACAATTCACTGATGATTTTGCAAAAATTAACAAAAGTATGACATAATCATCATTCAGTCAATCAGACTTGACAAAAATCATCTGAATTGTTTATTATAGAAAGATTTCATAACTGTAACCATAAACTTACCAAGTAATTTCACCAACTAAATCACGAATTTGCATCTTTCTATATTATAATCTTATCTGATGAAGTACTCAACTATTAACTAGTGAGGTTGTATACACTACTCAGCAATAGGTTATTTTCACTTCTATAATTTTGTTTGTTTGTCCGAACTCAGATACAACCAAATGGCCAGACTATAATTTATGGACAAACCAATTAGATATAAAATTACAGGTCTCGGATTTGGGAGCGAAATTCACTCATCTATTTCGGTTAAAGAATTTCGTTATCATAATTGATATCATTTCGTGATGAAAACCCTAAATCTAATTCCTAACCTTAACCATTAATAATAATTGATAATTCTTATTCCTCACATAGGTTTATACCCTTCATTTGGTCCTAGTTATTAGATGGACACTCTCAAGGTCAGTCTAGCGTCGCTCAAAAGTCGTTCATAAATTATAGTCTCATTCTTCAAGCGATAATATACGCTTGCTAAAAACGGAGTGAAATTGATAGACAAATCAAGAATAATTCTACAGGAATATCTAATCACTCATAATATCTAATCTGCTTTACCAAAAGGTGTACGGATTGTAGAATCGTTAGTGATATGAAAGTCGAACGTCATCTGTAAATACCAGTTTCCTAGATAAAACTATTATTTTCCACTTCATTTATTTTAACCTTTCCACTATTATTAGTCCTATCCTATTCAAAAAATTTATAATTCCCGAAATCAACTTCAAAATGATCTTCAGAATACAAATGTCAAGACAGTTCTATTGTATGGGGAGGAAAGCTGAAGAACTAAGAAATTCAACATCCAAAAGATACAAATGTTTATTAACAGTTGTCTACGCAACATACTTCGGATCCATTGGCCAAACACTATCAGCAACAACCTAATATGAGAGAGAAAAACCAGATTCCAGTGGAGGAAGAAATTAAGAAGAAGCGCTGCAAGTGGATAGGATACATATTGAGGAAAGCAACCAACTACATCACAAGGCAAGCTCTGACATGGAACCCTCAAAGTCAAAGGAGAAGAGGAAGATCAAAGAACACATTACGTCGAGAAACGGAGGCAGATATGAGAAAAATACACAACAATTATATAGAACTAGAAAGGAAGATTCAGGACATAGTGGATTAAAGAATGCTGATCGGTGGCCAATGCTCCATGGGCGGGGGGTGACAGGCGTAAGTATCAAAAACGAAAGACAGTAATAACTATAAAACAGAAACTATGCATTCAAAATCAAATTTACTGATATTGACGATGACATAAACAACAACGACAACAAGTCAAACATTGTAAGTATGGATTTTGAATAAAGCCAATATATAAATAAGGCCCAGGACAGAGTGAGTTAGAGAATGCTGGTTGGCAGCCTATGCTCCGTTGGGAGTAACAGGCATAATTAAGTAAATAAGTAATATATAAATAGATTAACAGAGAAAATGTAGTTACAATGACAAACATATGTAGCCCTATACACACATATTTATATTAAATTTACTTTGTAAAATGTTACAAATTCTATTATGAAAACAATAAACAAATAAAAAACGAATCATTGGAAGACATACAACTGATATAAATAAACTTAAAATAGAGAATAATAAACGTGGTGCAAATATCTTCCATACCATTAAATGACGACGTAATAAACCAGTACTTAGCATACAACCTAAAGTCTACAATGAAAAGAAAAGAAAAACAAAATTCTTTTGGATAAAGATGTCAGTGAATATCGTTCGTCTGTTGATTAGAATGAACAAATAAATAAATAATTAGGTTCAATGATTCACATTTTCAGTTCCATTTTATTTTATTTATTCATTTTAACACATAGATATTGGTAGAAGGAGGCATCAAATACATATGCACCACACAAATCTCATTCGATATGTGTGTGGGCTGTGATACTGCTGGAGTGCCCAAACCGAAACAGGTGGTTTTCTTAGGGGATCACACCTTGAGCCTTTGACCTAAAGGTCTGATCCATAAAGCAGTGGAGCATCGTAAGGAGATGCAGTCCCATGGTAGCCGGTGACTAACAATTGGTTCATACGCCATTTGTTCCCGCAGGATACTGTAGCCCATGTGCACCATTGGTTTGGAATACGGTTAATGCGCCGGACATTCGCTTTTCGTCCTCTCATTTTCGTAGACAACAGTAATGCCACGAGAAGACAGTGAGTAGGACTTCCCTGGCAGACGCTATATACGCGTGGCCATGTGAGAGCATCTCGAGAGGGAAAGCTGACTCTCCCCACTCTCGGCCGTACCAGGACATTTCAGTCCCATACTACTTGTAATATTCAAGTTATTTTCTTTATGAAATCAAGATCAACGATAATCACGATGATGAATCTAAATTTTGTTTGTTAAACAAAGCAGTTATCAAATCGAATATAGTGAATATCATTAGTTGAAATCTGATCGAGACTATAATCTATGTACGAATGATTCAAATTTAGGGATTTCGGTGCGAAATTCATTCATCCATTTGATCAGATAGCGTCTTGATATTTTAGTTGATGTCATAGTTCGTGATGAAAAAACTATAAACCTAATTCCCAACCCTAATCATCAACCGTGAATCATAATCCCTATTCTTGAAACTGCTTTATCACCCTCATTTAGGTGGACATTCTCAAGGTCACTTTGGTGTCACTCAAAGATCATCCATAAATTATGGCCTCACCAAAATCTCTTTGGATCGAATTCACTAAAACTGTGTGCATCACGATACTATTTATATAGATTATTTTTCTCAACCAAGAAACCATGTAGATAAATTACAAGTCGAACGCTCCCAAACGTCTTGGGACGGCCGACGGTGGGGAGAATCAGCCCCCTTCTCGAAATGCTCTCACATGGCCATGCGCAAACAGCCACTGCCAGGAAATTCCTACTCACTGTCTTCTCGAGGTGGGGATGTTGTTTACGACATTGAGAGAACGAAAAGTTAATGTCTGGTGCTTTAACTGGTTTGATGGACACGGTAGATTCACCTAGGGGAGTTGGAAAACCCTCATTTCAAACGAATGGTGCACATGGGCTCAATGATCCTAAGGGAACAAATGGTGTATGAAATAATTTTTGGTCACCGGCTACTGCACGCGGGTGGTATTCCAGCCCATACACAAATCAAGTAACTTGTGTGGTATATATATATATATATATATATATATATATATATATATATATATATATTCAGTGCCCTTTTCTACCAACATTTGTGTTTAAATCAATTAACCCATAAAAAAACATTACTAGTTATCAAGATTGTCTTGAGTTGTAAAATAAGGGATCGTGAATCGAAAATCTAGTGATCGACTGATGATGAATACGTATCGAGCTATTTTTCTATGAAGTGGAAAGAATAGCATATGAATGTTAAGTTTGATATTAGATTACATCAGAAAACACAACAATGCTCGTATAAATTATCACAGAGTGAAGAAAATAACAACACTCCAATTAGTTTTTACAGATAGTCAGCCTATATTGAATGGGGTTATTAGAATGAAAGTTGCTAGTCAAGGTGATTTGTCAAAAATTAGTCTCTAGACCACTAAGCCGGCATCCAACAGTGTTAATATCTAACTCCAACTAATCCATGTGTCGCTCGATTTCGTGGATTAGTCGAAGTTAGACATTAACATCGTTGTATGTCGGCTCAGTGGTCTAGAGGTTAAGCGTTCGCGCTCAAGACCGAAGGTCCCAGGTTCGAATCCAGCGAGGTGGGATTGTAGATGCGCACTGCTGAGGGATCCCACAGTAGGACGAAACGGCTGTCCAGTGCTTCCGGGTTTTCAATGGTGGTCTAACATCAATCGGTTCGTGATCTCAACCAAAAAAACTTAACAATCTCCACAACCCCTAAACTGATAATTATCATGTGCTCATTAGTGACTAGCTTCGTGAGAAAATTCTCGGAGTTCTGGTGAGAAGCCGTGACCAGTGGAGCTAATCCGTGTCGGGTAGAAACAGGTGTCTACCTCAGTACAATGGGAGATGGTCGCGTAACTTCGTGGATCGGTTGAGGTTAGACATTAGCACCGTTGGATGCCTGCCCAGTGGTCCAGTAGGTTAAGCGTTCGCGCGCGAGACTGAGGGCCCCGGTTCGAACCCCGCGAGCGGGATCGTGAATGCGTATAGATCATTATTATACGTCTTACCGTTCAGTTTATTGATTACAGTCTCCCATGTTCACAGTCACATCTTGGCTTGATCTTGTGTATTATTTCCTATTTTATGGTGTGATGCGGTCTGTTTGGTTGGTAAATAAATCAAGCATGTTAGAAATAAATGATTCTCATAGTGGAAGCTGTTATTGGAGTTCTGAACTCAACTGCAAGGACTAGGAAGAAAAACGACTAATAAGGAAGATATGTTGCTCATACCGATCGAACTTCATTGGTTTAGCACAGTACTAATATTGAATAAGTCGTATTTCGACTGGCCAATAAATCACGTGATAACTAGCCGGCCTTAAAGTCACAACATATTTTCACTCGAATATCCCACAAAATCTGAAGTTCTTTAAATAAATCGAATGGCGACTTTATAGAAAAACATCCAAGAATGCATGAAATATTATATTGTATTTGATTTTATTTCTTCGAATGATATGATACCCTTTAGCTAAGTTAGATGTTTTTGGCTGAGCATAACGAGAAAGCAGAGTCACTGTTATGCTAGTTGTTTGAGGGAAACACCTTACTGCCGCTACACCTCCGTACAAGCAGAAGTACGACTTCGCCCTCAGACCTTGATTCTACTGGTTTTAGCCTTACGGCTCTTTAACCGACCTGTCTGGCATGGTAGGACCTTGAGGAACGATTGTTCAAACCAGTATAGCTTGATTGCTTCATCACGACAGAAAAGCCCAACCATCACGTCAAGATAGTGGTAACGGTCGGGAATCGTTGATTTCATGAGCTGTGAACTGTGCTTAATTATCACATAGAATGGGAAAATATTGTAAATGTTTACACATATATACTTCAGGATAGTAATGTAGAAATATTTCACGGCGTAGTTCACTCAATTGGTAACAATTTAAATTAACGTTCAATAGTTTTAATTAGCATTCAGATTTCAGTGAAAAAGTTACTAAACTGATTAATAAACAGTAGTCAATTTGATGTATGTTTACAATTTAGCGTAGATCACATTGTACTGACCAAGTTCAGATAGGGTTGTAATCCCACAAGATTCAGCATAGTGTGCATCATATTTCGATGTAAGGTCATCGGGACCGGTCAATGGGAATCCCCAAACCTAAGTTCCATTCTTCTTGGCATTTTTCATCAAAATTTATTTACAGTTTTGAGGAAACTAATGCTTCCAATGACATTCGAATCCGAATAGTCTATTGTGAATGATCAGTTTGTGTGAATATTTAAGTACTATAAGGAGTTAACCAGCAGCAGAAACGTTCGGTGACAATGTCTTTCCCTGAACTTGGTTAGATTCCACGTGACTATCGTGATCAATGGTTGGAGACTGAGTGACATGGCTCAGAATCGATCACAATAGTGTAGGTTTATAAACTCTTTGTCTTCACTTAAACTACGAAATCAAAATAGCTTCATATCATTCTTTCTACGAATGAATTCTTTCTGTATTATATCCTTATATGCAATCTTTCTTTTATATATTATCACCATTGAATTTACTACTTCTATGAATTCGATGTCCATCTTGTTGTGTTAATGAGTGAGGTGCAGTAACTTGAACCGATGCATATATGTGACTGGTCCTACGTTGTAGCTGACTGACTTTTCTTGAACCCCTGGCTGGGAAGGAATTATCAACTAACACGAAAATTACATCCATGGGTAAGTCCCATTACTGATAGATAGTTTAGTCTTGTTTTGAATCATCAAAAAGCCTTGATATGTCGTATTAATGAAAATATACTCTTACTAGTTACATAAATAAAACTAGATATTTTTATTGCATTTAAAAACCACATGAAATAAGATCATCAAGGGCGCTAGCCAATAACTTACTAACACACTTTTACTAATAATAAATCTCCAAATGAATAAATCCAAAGCATCAACAAATCTGTAAAAACCAGTATTTTGGCTATTGTTAGGATGGGAATGGATCACTGTCCCATGGACATGATGAAGGCGTGCAGATAAAATAAGAATCGTTGGCATACTGAAAGCAATTAATATAGGACCTGAATATAAATGCAAGAGAACAGTCAATCCTGGTAACCATCGTGTATTATGGTCACCTTCATATGCAGCATAAGCGGCATCCCATGGAATTCCAGATAATGTTGGTTGATGACCAGTTATAAAAAAAGATAAGTTATCTAACAAGCAAAGAAATATTGCAATAATCCATGAGATGCTGTTCTGAGGTACATGAAGCTGTAATGAATCTAAAGAAATTACAAAAAGGATGGATTGGTTAGGGGATACTAAGTCTGTTACTTATGATAAAAAGGAGCTTAACGATATATTATGATTTCTAAGAAGGTAATTTTTTTTCATTATTTGATAATGAGTGAAAAATAAGTGAGGAAACATTAGAAGTTGTATTTGTAGGGTTATCAGGAAAGATCCACAGTTTCCGCAAACCACACTAACATTTGATTTTTGAAGAGACAAACAGGTCAGTATGACTAAGTAATTTGGTATGATAATAAGAACGGATTGTACACGAAATAACAACATATACAACTGACCCCTCACCAGTATCCTAGATAAAAAACAATTAACGAATGATTCATGCTGATTGATCCAATGATAGAATAACTTGGTTAACAAGATCACTGAGGCTAAAAATCAATATCTAAAGTAGAGAAATCCCTATTCCATAATTTAACAGAATGATATATATAGTCACCTTCTGCCAAAAGTATTTCCAGAATTTATAGGGACCTATACCGAACGTTTACTAATCTTTTGGACCGGCGGGTGTAGGCATAGCACTAAGTATAAGGGTAGAACAAGCACTATTAGAATGGAACCCTGTTAACAGTCACCTATGCGCAGTTCGGCTAAACAGCTCTGTAAGAACTCGGAAGGATAGGGACACACGTCGTTGCCTTTTTGTCGTTTCTGCCTACGCTCCCACCGACTGCAGCTCAGATGAAGTGAAAGATGAATTTTACAGAAAGCTATCTGAACTTCTTCAGAAAGCTAAACGTTCAGACATAGTACGCGTAGCAGGTGACTTTAATGCCCAGATAGGTAGCTTAAACCAAACGGAAAGGCATTTAGGTGGATATTTTAGTATTCTGGCACAACGAACAGACAATGGTGACCGTCTGCTACAACTGTGCTCAGACAATCGTTTATGTTTGGCAACCACTAATTTTAAGCATAAGAAGAGACATCATCTAACATGGCGACCTTCTGCACCAAATCAACGATGGACTCAAATAGACCATATTGCCATCAGTCATCGTTGGAGAGGGTCGGTAGAAGATTGTCGTTCATTCTGGTGTACCTGCTTGGACTCCGACCATGCATTAATACGGGCACGCATCTACTTGCACCTCACTGGACGCAAAAAAGCCACACTAAAAAGACCCATTAGAACTGAATTGAGTGGCGAGAAAACCAAAAGTAAGTTCCAGGAACAACTGAGGTCACTCTTAGGTAGTTCTGAAAACGAAGCTGACCCAGATGTTGCTTGGAAAGATATACAAACAGCTGTGGAAACAGCAGCGACATCTATTAGTGTTTTGAACCAAAGGGTCACGAAAAACCAGTGGATTTCTACTAAGTTTATTGCACTTGTATATTCCCGTAAACTTATCCCTTTAGGCTCCGAACATTATGACGAGCGAAAACAAATCAGATCTAGATTAACAAAAAGTCTAAGGAATGAGCGTGAGCAGTGGTGGGTAACGAAAGCAAAAGAAATGGAAAAGGCAAAAGTTGTAGTTAACACCAGACAGCTTTTCAGACTAATAAAAGAAAATGGAATTAAGAAGTCAAGTGTAAGTGAGACGATCTCGGTAAAAGACGACACTTATCTGCTCTCGGCCCAGATATTTAGAATGATAGGTGAAAAGCTTTAAGGAGCATTCCAGATGGTCTTCAGCTAATCTACAACTAGCACCATTCCCAAACAGCCTGAATGCAACGCTGAAGTAGACCCCCCCCTCCGATTAACTGAAGTTCAAAAAGCCATAGCTAATCTATAACGAGGAAGAGCAGTTGGTCCAGATGGATTGGCTCCAGAGGTCTTTAAGGATGGCGGTCCAGTTTTAGCGATTAGGTGGACTAATAATTTAGCTAAAATCTGGGAACTGGATGTATTCGCATCTGACTGGTCTCAATCACTGATCGTCCCAATACATAAGAAGTAAAACTCATCCTGTGATAACCATAGAAAGATAAGCTTAAATAATATACCATCTAAAATACTAGCCTCAATAATTATCAGACGCCTAATAAAGATTCACGAACTGCAAACACGAGAAAATCAAGCTGGCTTCAGACCTAATCGTCAGATTTTAGAACTAAGGCATGCTTATCAGCGTCGACAATGATAGTTTTTTCGTGAATTAAAAGTAGCATTTGACTCGGTTCTGTGGCACTGTCCGTCATTGAAAGGCATACCTCAGAAGTACATAAACCTTGTGAACGCTCTTTACTCGATCACTGCCAGTCGAACTGCCATCTAATTTTGCAATCTCAAGTGGTGTCTGTCAAGGCTGCCACTTTCTCCATTTTTTTTAGTTTCATCATTGACCTACTACAGGAAACAACGTCGACTGAATTCTCGGGCGTTGATCTCCCTCCAGGAAGTCCACGTATCAATCTAGAATACGCAGATAACATAGTCCTGCTCGGTAAAGACGCTGATAAAATGTAGAGTCTTTTAATAGCACTGAACAACAATGTCAGGATGTTTGGGATGCGTTTCACACCCTCTAAATGCAAGTTGTTGCTTCAGGACTGGCTTGTGTCAACACCTGAACTAAGGATAGGGAGTGAAGTAGTCAAACACGTCGACAACTTCACTTATCTTGGAATTCTGATAAGCCCTAATGGGTCGGTGTCTGACGAAATATTAGCACGGATTCGTTTGACTTTTGTCAACTTACGTCACCTATGGCGAAGGCGAGATATCCGTCTATCAATTAAGGGACGAGTATACTGTGCGGCAGTTCGTTCTGTTATACTTTATGCTGCGAAACGTGGTCATTAAGAGTAGGAGATACCCGTAATTTACTAGTATTTGATCACAAATGCCCTAGAAATATTGCTCGCATCTGCTGGGACCACCGGGTAATAGTAAGGTTAGGCGCAGGATATTAGGGAATGATGGTAAATCAGTTGATGAGGCTGTGAATCTTCATCAACTGAGATGGTTAGGCCACGTGTTACGTATGCTTGAACTCCGATTACCACGACGTGTAATGCTAACCGGTGTTCGGGATGGTTGGAAGAAAGTTAGGGGCGGCCAAACCAAAACGTGGCATGAGTCCTTGAAGTCACTAACTTCTAGTCTGAGCCATGATGGTAGATGCAGACCACTTGGTTGGGGTCCGCGTGACTATCGTGACCAATGGTTGGAGACTCAGTGACATGGTTCAGAATCGATCACAATAGCGTAGGCGTATACACGCTTTGTCTTCCCTTAAACTACGAGGTCAAAATTGCTTCATATCATTCTTTCTACGAATGAATTCTTTCTTTCTGTATTAATCCTTATTCGCAATCTTTCTTTTATATATTACCACTATTGAATTTACTACTTCTATGAATTCGGTGTTCATTTTGTTGTGCTAATGAGTGAGGTGCGGCAACTTGGACCGATGCATATATGTGACTGGTCCTACGTTGTAGCTGACTAACTGAATAAATGAATTTCAATATTCTTTGATAAGTAACTCTTTCATTTCCTATCCAACAGTCTCCCTCATCAACACTGGTACAATAATTTTAATTTCATCTATGTATTGTGAGTTCTTGGATATTTATGCTGTTGTCTACTTTGATTACAATGGATTATGTCAAGTGTTAATGAAGATTATTGCTCTAGATTAACAGAGAATCAAACATCAAACCCAATGATATGCATATGTACAAATGCGTAGATTCAGTTAAATGTTTAACTCAAGAGTTACTCAATAAAACTTGTTACATGACAACATAAAATTATAAAATAACCAGCTATTGATCTAGATTATTTTGGAAAAGCTACTAACATTGTATTCACATATTGTTAAAAGCATATGATTGTTTAAATATTAAAGATTTATGGTAATGATGAGTTTACTAATTATCTTATTCACTTTTATCTCTGATCCAAATAATTTTAATATTTTATTTCTAGTGTATAATATTTCTGTAGTGTTATAATACGCGATATGTTGGCTCAACAATTTTCTTTTAATCTCATCTTAATTTATTTATACACATAAACATAGATACAAGAAGGCACCAAATAGATATGCGCCACATAAATCGTTCGATTTGTGTGAGGGCTTGGATACTGCTTGGGTGCCCAAATCGAAGCAGATGGTTTTCTTATAAGGCCACACTCAGAGCCTTCGACTTAAAGGTCTGATCTACAAGACAGTGTAGCAACATCAGGAGATGCAGTCCTATGGTGGCCGGTCACCAACAATTTGTTCATACGCCATTAGATTCCTTAGGATCCTGGAGTCCATGTGCACCATTGGTTTGGAATCAGGGTTTTCCAACTCCCCTAGATGGACTCTCCGTGTCCATTAACCCAGTTAAACCGCCGATCATTCGCTTTCCGTTTCCTTAATTTCGTAAACAACATCCACACCGTGAGAAGAGCGAGTAGGACTTCCATGGTAGTGGTTGTATACATGTGGCCACTTGAGAGCATTTGGAGAGGTAGAGAGGGTGGACTCTCCCCACTCTCGGTCGTACCATAGCATTTGGGACCATTTATCTCATCTAGTTGAAAACATCTGAAAGTAGCTAATAGAATCATTTTTTAACATTCTATGAGTTAATAGCTTTACACCTTTTTGCAATGTCAATTTAGCCTAACTTAAGTAATTAATGAATAAAAAGAATGTTTAGTACATTGAATATTTGAATAAATTATAATATTAAACTCACTTTTAATACATTTATCCATATGATTACATTTTACATTAGTTGCATGTATATGTATTTGAACGAATATAATTATGAAAACTAACCAAATTATATGAAATTCATTTAGGAAAACAAGTAGAGAAAGTAATGGTAAAACTGTTAAACATGTCATTGTCCATAAAGTGTACAAATAGAGAACACTTCTTTGAATGGATTGATTACAATCATTTGACTGTATAGATTTTATAAAATTTATCGATTGAATAAGTTGAAATGGAGATTTTAGAAGTTGGAAAAATATGTAGAATATAGTCATCAAGAGAATGCGAGCAATCCAAATTCGAACTGTATGCCTAAACAAATAAAATATACCATTCAATCTTCAATATACTTAGAGAGTATCAAATGATTTCATTTTAAGCAACAAAAAAAAAACTATTCATTTAGTCGAATGATAAAACGCTGATGCTGAGTAATAAACAGTCGAGATGTAGATGTCTTAGCGGTAATCAAAGGAGAACCAAGATTTCACATCTACTCACACTAATTAACAAAACTAATCTACAAAAGGATTTATGATTTGGAAGATTTCGATTGACTCTCATTACCGCCTCATTTACAAATGGTATTTTGTCGAAACTGTAACAAATTTAACAAACAAATTACACTTTCAACTTATAAATAATGATTAAAACTTCACAACTTTCTCTTCATAACCTGATGGCATAACTGAAACACGAGTTACCTAAATATTATCAATTGTAAGTGAAAAAATTAACCTATAATATTGTCAGTTTGCTTTCTCGCAAACTAAGATGTGACAAATAATTTAGCCAACTTAACATTAGCTGATTCCGTAGATTAAATGTTTCAAATTGGAAACAAAAAGAGGTAAGAGTGTAAAGAGATTTATGGAACTAAGATCACAAAATGTTCAAGATCATATGGGATTCAGTTTTGAATTAATATAATCGAAAACAAATAACAAGTATGCTGTTTAATATTGAGAACCTCTAGAATAAGAGAGCATAATAATCTAGTATAACTATCGCCAAATGACAATTTTATATATTTATTTGAACACATAAATATCGGTACAAAGGAGCACTGAATACATATGCGCCACACAAATCAATTAATTTGTGTGTAAGCTGTGATACTGCCCGGGTGTTCAGACAGAAGTAGATGGTTTACTTAAGAGGCCACATCTGGAGCCTTCGATCTAAAAGTCTAGTCCACAAGGTAGTGGATGCAGTCTCATGGGAGCCGGTGGCCAATAATTGGTTAATACACCATTTTTTCCTTCATGATCCTGGAACCCATGTGCACCATTGGTTTGGAATCAGGGTTTTCCAACTCGTCTAGGTGGATCTTCCATATACATCAACCCGGTTAAAGTGCCGGACATTCGCTTTTCGTCCTCTCAATTTCGTAAACAACACCCCCACCACAAGAAGGAAGTGAGTAGGATTTCCATGATAGTGGCTGTACACGCGTGGCCATCTGAGACTATTTCGAGAAGGAGAGCTAACTCTCTTCACTGTCGACCGTACCAATAACAAATAACAATAACGATATTCAGAAGAATGGTTTATAAGCGGCTTTTTTTGACAAGACTAGATGTAGTCATTTTTTTTCCAACAAACACAAGTGATTTGAAAAATAGAAATAGAAAACATCAAAGGAAATGAAATGAGAATAACTTACAATTTATGTTTTGGAATGAATCTAATCCAATTCATTGATTCCGCAGAATCCACCATCCATAATAAAGATAATAAACTACCAATTAATATAAATAAACATAATTTCCTCCAATTAACTTTATTCGATTGATTAATACCAATATAGATATTTAAATATTTAAACAATAATCGCCAATACATACGTAAACAAATGATTAACATAAAACAAGCAAATGTTACACGTATCCAACTAATTGGATAAAATTCATAAATAGGATTTAATTTATTCAAAGATTTACTAATCCATGGATCAAGTATAGATTGACATGCAGAACTATAAGTTAATTCTTCACGACAAATTAGAAAATGTCTAATCAATAAACGAAATAATAATAATATACTTGAATAAAATATCATTATAAATGGAAGACAAGGAAATGACCATGTCATAATATCAGTATGATCTATGATATGAATGAATGAACAAATTAGAAATATCACAATTAAACTTTGAATAAAATAGAAAGTGATATGAAATTCATAGATAATCATACTATTTGATAAATAACTTAAAGATAATAAGAATAATAACAAGAAACCAATAAAGTTATTATTGAATATTAACTTTGGAAATTTATAATGTTTAATGATAACATATGAGATGAGGATGAATAATAAAAGATTTAAGTAGTATATATTTATATTTGAAAAAAATGATAAAATACATGTCAATAATAAGAAACCATTATGGATATGTATCATAGGAATATTGGAATTCTTTTCAATTAATAATAAAAGACTAATCAAACTATAACTTGTTAAAAGGATACCAAACAATATCAATGAATCATTGAATTGAGTCCAATGTATACGAAATATAAATTGTAATTCATGAAGTATATTTATTAATTGTATATCATTGAATTGTTCTATCCAATCATAAGTTGAATTATATATAATACGATTCATATAAGACATAAGTATAGGAGATAATGGTAATTTACTTATATTATAAAAATAATTTGCAGTATAAGTGAACATCTATAAAAGAGAATAGTGAAAAATAAATGAAACAATACTTTTTTATTAGAAAACAAAATGGTAAAACATTATACAGCTGCTATGTTTGGAAGCGATTATGAGTTCACCTAGTCTGTGAATGGAATAAAGACTCTATGACCAAAGACTAATAAGCTAGGTATTCTGATGCATCCCAATTCCGTTAACTAAAGAGAATAATTGTTAGCGGGACATGGATTGGAATAAACCATGCTCAATGAACAATTGCGTTGATGCACACGGATTGGCTAATACTTAACCAATCAGCTCTAGTCGATACTTGGAGAACACTCTGGAATCTCTTCATGTAAAAATGATAAATATACTGACGTTTTTCCTATTATGCTTCTTACTTTCATCTAATCTTGTTATTTGGGACATAATCTCTTTTCCTGTTCAATCGTGTTGTGATTTGGAGACTTGTCGAATGAACTGGTCACCGAGAATACTGAACAATAGGAATAGCTAGGTTGTAGTAATAAGAGAGAATTATAACAGTAGTCGAAATTCAAACAGGGAAATATATTTCGCAAGCATCCAGAAACACAAGAGATCCCAACTCGTCTAGTCGGAGACACACTTACTTATATATTGGTTTGTACAACCATTTTTGATTAATAAACAGAATAAATCACATATATGAAAATACTTCATACAAGAATAAAATGTCATAGGGGAAATCGAAACAAATTGAATTAAACAGAATTAATGTTGAGCCAAAAAATCATAATGAGTAAATCAATTTAATTTTCACCCTTCATACTGTCATAACAACAGGCCAATATATATTAAAAGTGTAATAAAAATAATAAACCAATTATATTAAGACTACGGAAATTATACGCCCCCTAATGCCCTGATACGGCTGACAGTGGGGAGAGTCAGCTCTCCTTCTCGAACTGCTCACACATGGCCATGTACATACAACCACTGCCACAGAAGTCCTACTCACTGCTTTTTCGTGTCGGAAGTGTTTTTTACGAAATTGAGAGAACGAAAGCTGAATGTCTGGTGCTTTGACCGGTTTCATGTATATGAAGGATCTACCTAGACAAGTTGGAAAACCTTGATTTCAAACCAATGGTGACCATGAGGAATAACAATATAAAAACAGAAAAGAATATGGGCTCCAGGATCCTGAAGGAAAAAGTGGCGTATGAACCAATCGTTGGTCACCGGATACCGTGGGATTACATCTCTTAACATTGCACCATTTCCATGTGGATTCAACCTTCGGGTTAATAGCTCCGGGTGAGGCCCCCTAATGAAACCACCTGCTTAAGTTTGGGAACCCGGGCAGTATCCTAGCCCTGTCACAAATCGAATGATTTATGTGGTGCATATCTTTGGTGCCTCCTTGTACCAAGGTTTATGTGTTTAAATAATAATAATAATAATAACAATAATAATAATAGTCCGATGGCTTCAAAATTTCAGCTAATATACAGAATTGTATTAATTAGCATTGTTTTTATTCGTCATACAAAAGACTAATTTAATGGGATGTTCAATATGTATCACATAAAGTAAAATAACTCTGCACTTAGTTATTTGCCACTATACAATGTCGTTACAGTTTTACTCTCCAAAGGTCTGACCGATTTTGATCGAATAAACAATGTTCCTTTATCATCTGCTAGAGGGACCAACAAAATACATACAATACTAATATAATGACATTAAATTAATAAAATCATTAGCAGTAAATCATGGATACAAAGTTACCTGTATAAAATTCAATACCATACCCTGGTGAAGGTCAGCACCATACCCTAGAAGATGGTCATATAGTATGCCCAAATTCGAATAGGGTATTGGAACATTAGTTAGAAATGATAAAGTTGGAACAAGATCTATTTGATATAATCGTCTATTAGTTTGATTCTCTGAATCATCTTTTATGACAAATGAACTCTGATCAGCAGTAAAAACGATGAAAGCAGCTTCCAGTTCTGCATCACTATCTCCACCATGATCACCTGATCGTGTCATTCCATGGTCACCCAAAACAAATAGAATATCGGAAGATTGAAGTTTAGAAACAATACGTCTAGAAAGAAATGCATACGAGTAGAACAACGAACCCAGACAACAATGCAGTATACATAAATATGGATGCAAATCGGTGAAAACACCTAGAAATCTGAAAGTCAAAGTGATCTTAAAGAAATGTTACAAATTTGGATGATTTGGAAAGTAGCCTCACCTCACTTCGAGTTTATCTTAAATAGATCCACACGAAGAGTTAGTGTAGACACAGGGTACTCCCAGTCTAGTAGAAGTATTTTTGCAATTCGATGATGCAAAGCACGTACATGGCATAATCATGGACGCTGGTCTTCAAATTGGTTGACTGTGATTTCGGTAAACTTTATCTGATTGTACATTAAGACGACATAGCTTGCACAATTAAAACTGAAAGGTTTTCTCCACGTAACAGGCTCCAAGTCTATACATTATCACTACGTACATTCTTCAGAATTGTATCAATGGGTAAATTTAAAGATAAATGATGAGACGAAGTAACTGTGTTTAGCCTCATCAATGAGTTGGAACAATGTACAGAGTTAGCCATATGCACTCATTTTGTATGTGGTGATTTTGTGCAGAGCTTCCAATATGTTAATAGACTGCTTAGGTGCATTTACAGATAATCGAATGCAACTGCAATGTCAAGAAACAAACCGACTGTAGGTTTGTGATAATGTTCAAGGATTTGTCGGAAGGTAGAGACACAGGACTAATACATTCAAAATCTCGATGAAAACGGGTCAAATTCTCAAGAGCCGAACATTCGCTTTTCGTTCTCTCAATCTCGTAAACAACAGCCCCGCCATGAGGCCTTCCAGGTTATAGATTTACACAAACACTAACACATTCTCTTTAGAACTGTTTCTAGAGTGCCATCAGTTGGAAACATAGAGAATAGTAAGTTTGGGCAGATTTGTCTAAACTCATTACTGCGTTCAAACAATGGAGAGAAGTGACCGTATGCCCTCACTCTTCTTGAGGTATTTCTGTAAAAATCCTTTCAGATGTTAATTATCCTTGCATGAAAACCCATGATAACATAATCCCATCCAACGAATCGAAGGTGACCTCGACATTAAGGAACACAATGGCTATTGTTCCGGGATACGTGGGGGTGTTTTAGAGTTCGGCTGAAGATGAAGCAACAGAGAGAAAACTTATAATTTTGATAATTCGCACACAGGGCCAACCCACTAAGGTGGAAGTTATAAAGAAACACCATTTCTTATGCCAGTTTCTCTTCACTTTGATGGGACCCTTCCTATCACCTAATAGCATACAAACGAATACTAATGGAGATCCATTCCACTAGTAATGCTTTTGCTCTGAAATTCAGTGCAACACCAACCCCCAGTAAATTATGCAAACATGCACATGATAAATGAGTTACACTATAATAAACGATAATTATTAACCCATGAAAATATGTGATAATAAAAATTTTCGACTGACTTGATAAAACTGTTTAGTTCATTTAACTTTCGCGTCATCTCTGGATGTGCAGGTCCATATGTATGACCACAGTGGTCTATCCCCAGCATATGTCCAATAAGAATATCCCAATGAGTTTGTGGTGTTTGACTGTCAACAACTCCATTATCCCAATCCCATGCAGTACCGTTAAGGGCATGGAGAAAGTAGTTTTCAACACCTCGGTCAACTGTATCCAAATCTTTCACATTGAACGATGAGTAAGCTTTATAATGACTGAAACTGTGTGTTGAAACAAAAAATTAAAAGAATACACTGACAGGAATATATATGCACAAGAAAAGCAATGTATATATCAACAGTGAGTCACAAAAATAGCATAATCTGCATGTATTCACAAGTAGGTTAGTAACAAGTCAATGTTACGAATATGTAATGATATTGTACTGAAGGTAAACATGCTTTAGCCACTCTATGTCAAGTATTTTTTTATTATAATTAATCGAATAGGCAACTGGAAATAGTTGAATAATTATATCATATCATACTATTGATCTAACATAAGTGCAGTCAGTCGACTACGACGTAGGACCAGGCACATTTGTGCATCGGTTCAAGTTCCCGTACTTCATTAGCACAGCAAGATGACAACCGGATTTATAGAAGTAGATAATCCAATGGTGGTAATATATAAAAGGAAGATTGCATATAAGGATATAGTACAAGAAGAAAGAATTAGTTCTTAGAAAGAAAGATATGAAGCAAAACATAAGTGCGCACTCAAAATGCCATAAACTTCTCATGAAAATCACAAAACGATCGAAAACTATCACTATAAAATGCGAATCCTCCAAATGCAACTAAGTAGAAGCTTTTACCTATTTTCCATGAGATATGAGATAATAGATCTTATCCCTGTAAATACTCATGCAAGGACGAAACAATATAGAAAAACTATCAATTTTTGAAAAATAACCCCAGCTAGTCAGCTCCTGAAACAAACGCTTTGGATTATAGTGCAGTGAACGAGAATAAAAGTGGGGACAATCGAATGTATTTGAACACAAAATTACATAACATCTTAGTAAGATCTGAGAACCATATAGTAAAATACTTAATTTGCAAAATGTCGATCAAACTTGACTGTTCCTTTTGCACATATCAGTTAATTGTCTTAGACTTCATTGTTTCTGCATTTCTATACTAAATTCTTTGTGTTCTTTCTTCCTCGATCTTCTTGACCTTCCGTTGCCAGACATTCTATTCTCGACTAGCGTTATACACTACTTATGTCGATATAAGTAGAACACACCACAATATTATCATCAACGTACTACATACGCCACTGAAGTGACTGTAAGTAAAGCATACAACAAATTTTTTCGATAACTAGTGGGAACTAACTGTCCTCAGATTAAATAACGGGAAATGTCATTAAAAGTTTGGCTTAGAAAATAGCAAGAATTTTGTTGCCACCAAATTAATGCAGTCATTGAGAGTGAACTAGGGGGTCTAGCTAAAACACCAAAACAAATACATCGGGATCTGATAACCTTTAAGCTGAACATAAACTGAACAAACGGCTTGAATAATAATCGATTTGACTTACAAGACTCAATAAAACAGTAAGAGAATGAAAAATAAAATTTGTGGAAATTTCTGACAAATTTATTCTGAAGAACTCTGTGCTCAAAACTACATCCCGGGACATCAAACGAAAATTACCACAATTGACCAACAAACAGCAAAATTCGATAGTAGAGCGAGAAACAGCACTTTATTCAAGTCACTGGTAGCGAGAGGTTTGGTATCGGTAAATAATATGTTTATGTGTCTAATCACCTTCAAAAATAATCTGTGAAATGTGGATGACAATTATTAATCTTTTATTTTGCGTCAAAAATGTTGGCTATTTTCATACTAAACAATTTGGGTGGAAAACCCGAAGAACTGACTCATGAGAATTTGACCCGTTTTCATCGAGATTTTGAATGTATTAGTCCTGTATCTCTACCTTCCGATAAATCCTTGAACATTATCACAAACCTACAGTCGGTTTGTTTCTTGACATTGTGGTTGCATTCGATTCTCTGAATATTACTATTCTCTAAATGCACCTAAGCAGTCTATTAACATATTGGAAGCTCTGCACAAAATCACCACATACAAAATGAGTGCATATGGCTAACTCTGTACATTGTTCCAACTCATTGATGAGGCTAAACACAGTTACTCCGTCTCACCATTTACCTTTAAATTTTACCCATTGATACAATTCTGAAGAATGTACGTAGTGATAATGTATAGACTTGGAGCCTGTTACGTGGGGAAAACTCAGTTCCAATACCCTATTCGAATTTGGGCATACTATATGACCATCTGCTAGGATATGGTGCTGACCTTCACCAGGGTATGGTATTGAATTTTATACAGGTAACTTTGTATCCATGATTTACTGCTAATGATTTTATTAATTTAATGTCATTATATTAGTATTGTATGTATTTTGTTGGTCCCTCTAGCAGATGATAAAGGAACATTGTTTATTCGATCAAAATCGGTCAGACCTTTGGAGAGTAAAACTGTAACGACATTGTATAGTGGCAAATAACTAAGTACAAAGTTACAGTGATGATGATGGTGGTTCAGTAGATGAATGTAAAGCTCATTTTTATTGCTAATTATGAAATGTTGGAATTAGAACTATCATACGTTTTATTAAGAACTTCACGATAAAATAAACAAATATATGACATCAATCGACATACCTATCAGGAAATAGATCAATCCAGGTTTCATCACCAACAAATCGAATTTGTTTTCCAGCTTTATTCCACTGTTTTAGTAAATTATCTTCCAGTACTTTACTTCCGCCAAAATTTGAACCTGCATCAATAAATGTTGGCATACTCCCAGTCATTAAAGCTTTTAAACGTTGTAACGTGGTTGTCGGCGGGTCTGCGATAAACTTTCCAATAAATACCGCTTTAGATAAACTATCAAGTAGTGGATGATATCGATTTTGGGAATGTGATGAAATATGACCAGGTAATAATTGGTTATTTTCAGTATTGTCTTGTACAAGTGCATAACCCAATGCATCAACAAGTAAAAGGATAATTCGACCATTTCTAGCAAAAGTTGAAGGATACTTCAATGATAATTTCAATTTTTCATTTGTCTCATTGTAGAGCTCAGTTCGATTCAATAAAAAACCATGTAGAAATAGACTAATACCAAGAAAGGCAATAATGATTGATGGTAACTTGGACAAAATTGATATCTTGTAGTCACAATGTTTATTTATGTACTTAATGAGACTTTTACTGTATTTTTTGATCATATAGTCCATTTCTTGAAATCAATATAGCTAGTGAACAGAAGGAGACAGTATTGATTATATCTTTTGATAATGTAAGAGTAAGGGAAGTAAAAGCTTATAAATTGATTTGAATAGCTTTTATAAATTAATGGATAGATGGAATTTAAAATTCATATTATGTTCGGTTAAAAGAAAATAAGAAAGAGTTAGGAAAATACATTTACACAAGACAAAAAGTTTAGGCAATTTATCTTGACATCTGTGATATTGATTATCACCACATTTCTTTAGACGTAATCATCCGCTCCTTTTCATCTTTTTGTGTAAATAAGAGCTCAGTAGCACTAACCTTATATAATAAATTCTGCTTCAAGTGAACCAATAAATAAACCTTGACTATCATCTTAACTAACAAGTAACCACTTCACCTTTTATAAACATATTTGATGAATACTGAGGGAATAAACATAAACTAAGAGTATCCTATCACATAGGAAGGACGATTTTGGAATTTACTAAAGTATTCACAGTAATCAAATGCTGTCTGTTTAGCTGTATTTTTCGTTTCAACAAAAATCAGTTCCTCTACGTTGGACCTATCAATTGTAATAGGTGTTAAGAAATAACAACAATAGGAAGTAATACTAAGTATGTTCAAATCGAATCTATTGTAGAAGTAAATACAAATTAAAAACGTTGGAATAAATTACCTGCAAATGAACTTCGAGTACAAACATCTGGCGCATAAGCTTTTTCGATCAAATCAACACCAACGCGAAAATCACCTGGGACAATTATTTGAAGGTGAAATGAATAAATTGAGAACAACAGAAGTGGGTATGACTTCAAACGCACACACCAAGATTTTACAGAAGTGACATCTAGAGAGAAGATACTATTTCTACTAATTCTCCAGGTAGTTTTCGCTATGAAAAAACTCGTGTCGAGATTATTTTGACTGTAAACGTAAATTATGCAATTAATATTGAGTGATAGGGATAAAAGCCCATGATACGAAGCTTTAAGTTATGTTAGTGTTGTTAAGAAGTTTTAGCACAGGATGAAATAGTTTTTTAACACATCTTGATTTTCGGTTAATCAAAATATGAAAACATCTGACTGATAATCAAAGGATGGCTGGGGTCCAGGAACATGAGTAACTGATTGATGTAAACAGGGAAATCCATAAAAGTTAATGATATGTCAGAGGTGATATGATATCAAATTCAATTGACATTTTCAATTAATACTAGTGTTTAAAGTTTTTTCTAGTATTTATTAATTCCGACTAAACTTTATTGACTTTCAGCGGATTTTCTTACTTACTAGCTTACGCCTGTTACTCACACTGGAGCGTAAGTCGCCGACCAGCATTCTGCAACCCACTGTCCTGGACCTTCCTTTCTAGTGCTATCCAATTGTTATTCATTCTTCACAGGTCTGTCTTCATTTCTAAGCGTAATGTGTTCTTTAGTCTTCCACTTTTCCTGTGGCCATGTGACTCAATCCGGTGTTTTCCTCAATGTGTGTCCTATTCCATACTAATAACTCTTTGGTTTTATACATTTCGTCAAAATTATCTCATGTTTACCACCTACCGCAAATTATATTATTACTTCTTATACTTTCCTACTGACCACTTTAATCTCTCGATTTGTCGATAGGCGTTGGGGTATATTTAAAAGACAGACTAGTCCCAGGTCCTACATCGTTTATGAATGGCTGTAAAATGATAATTTTGGTCATTTGAAGATGTTAAGTAGTAAGGTCAAATCCCCAAAAAAGCTTACAAATGACGTTTTAACAGGATATAAGGAGCGAATGGAAAGCCCCTAAATGCCCTGGTACGGCTGAGTGAGGAGAGTCCATCCTCTCTATCCAAATGTTCTCAAGTGGCCAGGTGCATACAATTACTACCAGGGAAGCCCTACTCACTACCTTCTTGCACCACGGGTGTTGTACACGAAGTTGAGAGGAAGAAATGCGAATGTCCGGAGCTTTAACCGAGTTAGTGGACACGGAGAGTCTATATAGGGGAGTTGGGAAACCCTGATTCTAAACCAATGGTGCACATGGGCTGGCTCCAGGATCCTGAAAGAACAAATGCCATATGAACCAACTGTTGATCACCAGCCATCATGGGACTGCATCTCCTGACGTTGCTACACTGTCTTGTGGATCAGACCTTTAAGTCGAAGGCTCTGAGTGTGGCCTCATAGGAAAACCATCTGCTTCGATTTGGGCACCCGGACAGTATCCCAGCCCTTACATAAATTTAATGATATGTGTGGCGCATTTATACTTGGTGTATCCTTGTACCAATATCTATGTGTATGAATAAATAATGAGACAAGAAAGGAGTGCGGTAATAGACAAGGATTACGTGCCAAAGTATCGCAGGTACAAAAGATAATTTATGAACTTAATTCACTCCAACGTCCTTTAAGTAGCTGTCTTGGTATGAAGTGAAATCAAGTAATACACAATAAATATCTTAATCTCAGTTGATTATTTAACTTATTACATAAAACAGAAATGCATCTTCTAGTTGGCGTTTAAAACCAAGTATTTGAAGATAACGTCACCAAACTATGTAGATGTGAATGAAAAAAGATGGATATCACAAAAGAATAAGTCTTTAGACTTTGCCATACCTACCTCAGTTTGAGCAGACAAATTGTTAATAGATACAAGTTCAGTAGATGAAACGATATCCAGTCAAAACTGCATAACCTATAAGATGGAAAAAAGTGGCCAGCATAAGCAAAATATCACTAATGAGCACGCATTCATGAAAGTAATCTCTAATTTATTAGGATAATTTTACTTTTGTTTGAAGGATCGAAAATATTCTATAAACTGAACTTATATTGTCTTCCTTGGTCCACTAAATCACTTTTGGTTAATGAAGATTAGGACCTAGCCACTAGTAGGTGTCAATAACTTTATTAGTAGAAACCCTGTTATACGTATAGCAGGGTTCTGTATGTACATAAAGAAGGCTGTGCAAAGAATGTTGGCCATCCTTAGTATGCTCATTAAGAAATCCTCAAGTCATAAAAAGGCGTTTGGCCAAGTGCAACTGTGTAGAATTCAACAAGTCACATGCTTATTTCTGCGAACCACGTCTAAGCAAGAGTGTTTATGTATTCATATTTGTCTATGGTTGAAATATGACCTTGACAAATGGTTCAAAATGGTTCAAATAGTTGTGGACGGAATAGAAGAAGCTTTCGCTTAACAGGCTTCCGTGTCTAGTAGCAGGGGATCACCAAATCCTCCAGGCAGGAACCTAGGTATGTTAACAATAAAAGAGGAAAAGAAATTGGTAAATCATAGTATGATACTGTCCTTGGTCCTTAAGAATAGGTCAAGTTGCCTCTTGAAGGACTCCTGAGAAGTCGCTTGGACTAGCTCGGCCGGCAACGAATTCCAGCTTTTGACAACTCTTAAGGAGTAGAAGTTGTGTCAACATCCCGTCTTGCTATGTTGAGTTTCCAGTTTCTGGGTGTTACCCCTTAGGTTATTATTCGAACAAAGCTTGAGTAGGTGTTTAAGAGGATGTCCAGAAGTGTTAAGAATACTATAAGCCATTAATAAATCACCTCTAAGACGCCTATACTCTAATGAGTAAAGGTCTAGTGAATGGAGGCGTTCTTCGTAAGGCTTAGATTTGAGTCCTCGAACTGATTTCGTGGCTCGCCGTTTGATACGCTCCATAGCGACCTTGTCCTTTTGGAGTAGTTACTTTATCAATCAGAAAACTGAATGGCTGACTAAAGGATGAAATATCTAGCAAGAAAGGATGGTCAAATATTATAGCAATTATGCTAATTCAGATAGAAAAGTCTGATAAATATCCTTAGACAAACGGATCAAAAACAGAATTCAGACACAAGTTTCTGCCAGTCTTCCAGTACTTTTTATTCAGGTGTAAAGTACATGCCGTACTCTCAGACATATTACCAAATGGTTAAGTCTCACTTGGATACTCCGTATAATCGAACAGTGAGACAATATTATCAGCCTACTCAATGCTTAAAGTCGCCTACCACGTAACAGATATACACAGCCACCAACGCACTCTCTTCAGAACTGTTTCTAGAATGCCATCAGTTGAAAGGATGAAGTTTAATAGGATTGGGCAGATCTGTCTATACCCATTCTTGGGTTGGAACAATGGAGAGAGGTGACTGTATGATCTCACTCTATTTGGGGTATTTGTGTAAAAATCCTTCCAGATGTTAATTATTTTTGCATATAGACCCATAATAGCATAATCCTCTCCAACGAATTGAAGTTGGCCCCGACACTAAGGAACACAATGTCTGTCGTCCTGGGATAAGTGGTAGTATTCTAACATTTGGAAGAGAGGAAGATATGATCAAAGTTTTCACATAATCAAAAACTGGCTTTAATTTTTTGATCATTCTTTTATGGGCTTCGCACAATATATGAAGTATGACGTGAGCCAACGGCTTGGACGCAATCAAAATTAGACTTACCCTATTATAGTTGTTAAATAGATGACACAGGTTTTTTCCAAGGATGAGGACGATGACCACTATACTCCAGATTGTTAGGGAGTTCTGTTCACCATACTTTTCCAAATAGCCCAGTCAGCTTAATGGCCAGAAGTCCCGCATCGTCTCTGAGGAAAGCCAGAGCTAAGTAGCTGGGGCCTGGTGACTTAAGGTGCCACAATATTAAGTGTCTTCTACAGACCGTCAGTAGTCACTGGCCAGAGTGACTGAACAGTTGATAGACGTTGCTGAAGCAACAGATCATACAAGCGACTCGTGTGGCGCGTATGTATTTGGTAGGCCTTTGTACCAATATTTGTGTTTAAATATAATATTATTAAGCGATAGACCGAACGAACTGTTCCGTGAAGAACTCTCAATATCGTCAAAGATGTCATCTTAATAACAAATAAAACAATGAGAGCAATCGACGACTATAAACAATGGTAAGTGTAGTAAGTCAGCTACAACATAGGACCAGGCACATATATGCATCGGTCCAAGTTGCCATACCTCATTAACACAACAAGACGGACACCGGATTCATAAAATTAGTTAATTCAGAGGTGGTAATATATAAAAGAAAGATGGCATATAAGGATATAGTACATGAAGAAATAATTAGTTCGTAAAAAGAAAGATATGAAACGATTTTAATCTCATAGTTTAAGGGAAGACAGAGAGTGTATACACCAACGCCATTGTGATCGATTCTGAGCCATGTCACCAAGAGTCTCCAACCATTGGTTGCGATCGTCACGCGGACCCCAACCAAGTAGTCTGCATCTACCAACATGACTCAGACCAGAAGTTAGTGACTTCAAGCACTGATGCCACGTTTTGGTTTGGCTGCCTCTAACTTTCTTCCAACCATCCCCTACACCGGTTAGCATTGCACGTCGTGGTAATCGGTGTTCAGGCATACGTAACACATGGCCCAACCATCTCAGTCGATGAAGATTAACAACCTCATCAACTGATTTACCATCATTCCCTAATACCCTACACCTCAACTCACTATTACTTACCCGGTTATCCCAGCAGACTCCAGCAATATTTCTAAGGCATCTGTGGTCAAATACTAATAGCTTACGAGTATCTTCTACTCTTAATGACCACGTTTTGCAGCCGTGAAATAGAGCAGAACGGACTGCCGATCAGTATACTCGTTCTTTTATTGATAGACGGATATCTCGCCTTCTCCAAAGGTGACATAAGTTGGTAAAGGCCAAACGAGCTTTTCGAATCCGTGCTGATATTTCTTCAGATAATAACCCATTAGGGCTGATCAGACTTCCAAGATAAATGAAGTTGTCAACGTGTTCGACTACTTCACTCCCTATCCTTAGTTCAGGTGTTGACGCAGACCAGTCCTGAATCAACAACTTGCATTTAGAGGGAGAGAAGCGCATTCCAAACATCCTGGCGTTGTTGCTTAGTGCTACCAGAAGGCTCTGTATTTTATCAGCGTCTTCACCAAACAGGACTATGTCATCTGCGTATTCTCAGTCGATAAGTGGACCTCCTGGAAGGAGATCAATACCCGAGAACCCAGTCGACGAGAATGTTATCTCCATCAGTAGGTCTGTGATGAATTTAAACAAGAATGGAGAAAGTGGACAGCCTTGACGAACATCACTTCAGGTTGCAAAAGCAGATGAGAGTTCGCCATAAGCTTTGACTCGACTAGTAGTGTTCGAGTAAAGAGCCTTTACAAGGTTTATGTACTTTTGAGGTACACCTTTCAATGACAGACACTGCCACAGAATTTCGCGGTCTACGGAGTCAAATGCTGCTTTTAAGTCAAGAAAGACCACCATTGTCGGTATGCTTGTGCTCTAGAACTTGACGAATGATGAATATATGGTCGATGCAGATACGACCATGTTTGAAGCCAGCTTGATTCTCTCGTGTTCGCAGTTCACGAGTCTTAGTTAGGCGTCTGATAATTATCGAGGCTAGTATTTTAGATACTATATTAGTTAAACTAATCCCTCCATGGTTGTCACAGGATGATTTTAACCTTCTCTTATATATTGGGACAATCAGTGATTGTGACCAGTCAGATGGAATAACGTCTAATTCCTAGATCTTAGCTAAAATATTAGACAACCTAATCGCTAAAATCGGACCACCATCCTTAAAGACCTCTGGAGCCAATCCATCTGGACCAGCTGACCTTCCTCGTTTCAGATTAACTATAGCCTTTTGAACTTCTGCTAGAGTTGGGGGACCTACTTTAATGTTCCATTCACACTGTCTGGGAATGGAGGGTAGTTGTAGAGTAGTTGAAGGCCAGCTGGACTGTTCTCTAAAGTGTTCCGCCTATCGTTCTAAACGTCTGGACTGGGAGCAGATGAGGGTGTCGTCCTTTTCCGAAATAGTCTGACCTACACTTGACTTATTAATTCCAGTTTCCTTTATTGGTCTGTTGAGCTGTCTTGTGTTCCCTATATCCGTCGCCTTTTCCATCTCTTTTGCTTTCGCTGCCCACCACTGCTCACGGTCGTTCCTTAGACTTTTGGTTAACCTAGATCTGATTTGTTGTTGCCCTTCATCGTGTTCAGAACCTGATGAGATGAGTTTACGAGAATCCATCAGTGCAATAGACCTTGAGGAAATCCATCAGTTCTTTGTAACGCAGTGGTTTAAATCACTGATAGATGTCACTGTTATTTCCACAGCTGTTTGTATATCTTTCCAAGCAACATCTGGGTCAGCTTCGTTTTCAGAACTACCTAAGAGTGAACTCAGTTGTTCCTGGAACTTACTTTTGGTTTTCTCGCCACTCAATTCAGTTCTAATGGGTCTTTTTAGTGTGGCTTTTTTGCGTCCAGTGAGGTGCAAGTAGATGCGTGCCCGTATTAGGGCATGGTCGGAGTCCAAGCAGGTACACCAGAATGAGCGACAATCTTCTACCGGCCCTCTCCAACGATGACTGATGGCAATATGGTCTATTTGAGTCCATCGTTGATTTGGTGCAGAAGGTCGCCATGTTAGGTGATGTCTCTTCTTATGCTTAAAATTAGTGGTTCCCAAACATAAACGATTGTCTGAGCACAGTTGTAGCAGACGGTCACCATTATCTGTTCGTTGTGCCAGAATACTAAAATATCCACCTAAATGCATTTCTGTTTGGTTTAAGCTACCTATCTGGGCATTAAAGTCACCTGCTACGCGTACTATGTCTGAACGTTTAGCTTTCTGAAGAAGTTCAGATAGCTTTCTGTAAAATTCATCTTTCACTTCATCTGAGCTGCAGTCGATGGGAGCGTAGGCAGAAACGACAAAAAGGCAACGACGTGTGTTCCTATCCTTCTGAGTTCTTACAGAGCTGTTTAGCCGAACTGCACATAGGTGACTGTTAACAGGGTTCCATTCTAACAGTGCTTGTTCCGCCCTCATACCTAGGGCTATGCCCACACCTGCTAGTCCACGAGATCTGGCCATCGAGTCACCAGATACACGGAGGGTGTATCTCGTTGGCTCTCCGTTTTACCGAGGTGAGGTCACGTAAATGACCACACTGGGATCCTGTATGCGTGTTCCAGAGACACAACATACATCAATGGTACGAGATTCTAGGGTATTAGCCAAGGAAGCCTGTTTACCGATTTGACATAGGGTGTGTACGTTGAAAGCTCCAATGTGTAGTTTGGAG